GTCGAATATATAAATACATATATACATACACTCAGCAAAAAAAAAATCCACGCACTTCACAGAGTGGCTGTACATAGCGCAAAACTTAGGTTTATGTTATCTTAAGCTAGACAGTGTTTTTTGAGAGTCAAGCCTTTTTATTCACTTTATGTTAAAAGCATTTTTATATAATAAACTTATAGTTTAACACTTGCTTTAGTGAAAAATGCAAAAAATCTTTTTACAACTGACTCAAAAGAAATAATCGCAAGTACTGAAATAAACACGTGCAGAAACTAACGGTTTCAGAAGACAAATAGCGTATTTTGAGCGAATAGAAACAGTTTAAAAATGGAATATTATAAAATTTTCGACTGCGCGGGTTTTTATTCGCCGAGTGAATGTAATATGATAACCTTTTTAAAGCGGTCAGCAGATTCTTCTCGCGATGATTTATTTTTGATTTGGTAACTATGGATCATCGTATAGATCAGAATAGGTAAAACTCTTCGAATATTTAAACGCAGATCGCTCAATTATTATTCTAAAGGAGTCAAGATCGGATATGTATTCGGTATGTATTCTGAGAAGGTTGGTAGCTCTACAGGACTATGAATCGTAAATTCAGTGTAATATTCTGAAACTGTATTGAAGACCATAATTTTTCCATAATTCCACAAAACCACAATTTTTCAATCTGTAAGCTTGAAATACATATATCTTTAGCTATAAGAAATTCAAAAGGTCTTGCTTTATTATCCCTATATTTAATAGCGATAGAATCTTAATGCTGGTTTTTATGAAATATTTAGTTATTAAACGACAACGCCAAATGCGCTGTGTGCTACAAATTACAATCTGGCAATAAGCTTGAATGATAGTTTAGCAAAATTACTCATTAGAATGTAAAGTTTGGAACAAACTTATTTACATATATATATCGTATATATGTATTACAGTATATGTTTATATCTGAAATTAAAGCTCGCAATTATGCGCGTAACAGCTTGCGACTGATAAATTATCTAAACATTTGTACGCATGAGTTATCATAAGAACAAGTAAGGAAGGGCTAAGTTCGGATGTAACCGAACATTTTATACTCTCGCAAAGTCAAATAGTATACTCGTTTGAGATTTCTTTGTGGATTGGCTGATATTTTCGGTAGAAGGTCAACTATAGGCACTGGGGTCCACATATTTAGTACTTAGGGGCTTAAACAGTTTTGGTTCGATTTAGACAATTTTTGGCCACAAGGTGGCATACTTTAATCGCATTATTCACGCAAAGTTTTATCCCGATACAGTCATTGTTGCCTGATTTGCATAGTGGAAAGTGAAATAATCAGATGGAATTTAAAATGGTGTTATATGGAAAGTAGGCGTGGTTGTAGTCCGATTTCGCCCATTTTTGCACTGTGACATAGAAACATGAAAAGAACGTTATGGTTGAGCAGATCTCAAGATATGGGTTTTCACCTAAAAGTGGGCTGTGCCACGCCCACTGTCTAATTTTGAACGCGGTTCCTAGAAAGTCATCTCATACCATCCCAGAGATAAAATTTAATGAGTCTGGCGTGTTTAGTGCTTGATTTATCGCGCTTTTAGTAGTTTTTAACAGTACCGTTATATGGGGAGTGGGCGGAGTTGCCACCCGATTTACTATTACTATTTTCACACCGTCAATAGAAGTGCTAAAAATATTTGCTTCCAGTGAATTTTGTTATTATAGCATTAGCGGTTTAGGAGATATGCACATTAAACCTATTAGAGGCGGGACCACGCCCACTTTTTTAAAAAAAATTTTAACTGCAGATGCCCCTCCCTAATGTGATCCTGTGTACCAAATAACAGTCTTGTATCTTATTGCGGAGCTTAGTTATGGCAAGTTATTTGTTTTTGATTAATGGCGTTTTGTGGGCGTGGCAGTGGTCCGATTACGCCCATCTGCAATACCAACCGTCTCACGGTACCATGAAACATGTCTACCAAGTTTCATAAAGATATCTCAATTTTTACTCAAGTTAGAGCTTGCACGGACGGACGGACAGACGGACAGACGGACGGACAGACGGACGGACGGACAGACAGTCACCCGGATTTCAACTCGTCTCTTCATCCTGATCATTTATATATATATAACCCTATATCTAACTCGATTAGTTTTAGGTGATACAAACAACCGTTAGGTGAACAAAACTATTATACTCTGTAGCAACAGGTTGCGAGAGTATAAAAATAAAGGAAAGAAACAAAATTGATTACTCTTTGCTTGAGTTTTGAATTAAAAACAATTCAAATGTGATTTGTGCATCAATTGAACTCAAGCCTTTTAATTAAAATTCCAATAAAACTGAGACACAACCCAAATGACAAAAAAAAATGATAATAATCAAAGATGACATAACATTGTTATCACGTACGATAAAAAAAACGCGTTGAGTGGCTAAACATTAGGGTATGACTATTTGAGCTTAAATATCTTTTTACTGCTGAGTGAAAAAAGTTGCGCATTTCGGTGTTTTACTCAGTTATAACTATTCGCACTTCACGTTCAACTGTGTGTACTTCAGAAATTTGAACTGACTTATGCTTTGCATTTGTAGAATGCTTCTAAACATGTGACCAATCGAATCAAGTGGTATATTTATTTATTGATAAAAGTCTTAAGCGATCATGCAGTACACTCAAGTATTAGTCCAAAATATACCTTACTAAAATTATATATACAAGTCTATAAATGTGTATAAAAACATATTAAAGACGTTCGCTAAAAAGATGTATAATGCTTTCCTGGACGTAAGTAGGAATTAGAATAAAAAATTATCGTAAAGTTTATTAAATTAAAACGGAATTTATACTAATGAGCACTCTATATATTTAAATTGATTCGAATCTCTTTACAAAGATTGATTTTCCTTCAGCCTCTTTTGTGGAGGTCTATAACACATGAACCAAACCTTCTCAGTTTTCTATATAATTTATTATTTTACTAATATCTCATATGTACATATTTTTCTCTGACAATAGTTATTTTGAAAGCTGATTTTTCTAAAATTTTTTCACCGTACAGTTTTGAGCAGGGTCGCAAGTGATGCATTAAAAAAATAATTGAGTTAACCTTTGAATACATTTTTTTTTTATTCTGTAATCCCAAATGCGGGAATTCTAGTATTACATTTTTT